GTAGTAGGAGGAAGAGGAGTAGGAGGAGGAGCAGCAGGAGGAGTAGGAGAGGAGGAGGGGCAGTAGGAGAGGCAGGAGGGGGAGAGGAGCAGGAGGAGGAGCAGAGTAGTAGGAGGAAGAGGAGTAGGAGGAGGAGCAGCAGGAGGGGGGAGTAGGAGGAGGGGCAGTAGGAGGAGGAGCAGCAGGAGGGGGAGTAGGAGCAGGAGGAGGAGGAGCAGGAGATAGTAGGGGAAGAGGAGTAGGAGGAGGAGCAGCAGGAGGGGAGTAGGAGGAGGAGGAGGAGGAGGGGAGAGAGGAGAGTAGGCGGGAGGAGGAAGCAGGAGCAGTAGGAGGAAGAGGAGTAGGAGGAGGAGCAGCAGGAGGGGGGAGTAGGAGGAGGAGGGGAGAGGAGGGAGTAGGAGCAGGAGGAGGAGGAGCAGGAGTAGTAGGAGGAAGAGGAGCAGGAGGAGGCAGGAGGGGAGTAGGAGGAGGAGGCAGGGAGGAGGAGCAGCAGGAGGGGAGTAGGAGGAGGAGCAGGAGTAGTAGGAGAAAGAGAGGAGGAGGAGCAGCAGGAGGGGAGTAGGAGCAGGAGGAGGGGCAGTAGGAGGAGGAGCAGCAGGAGGGGAGTAGGAGCAGGAGGAGGAGGAGCAGGAGTAGGAGGAGGAGGAGGAGGGAGGAGGAGCAGCAGGAGGGGAGTAGGAGCAGGAGGAGGGGAGGAGGAGGAGCAGCAGAGGGGGGAGTAGAGGAGGAGCAGGGGAGGAGGAGAGGAGGAGGAGCAGCAGGAGGGGGAGGAGCAGGAGGAGGGGCAGTAGGAGGAGGAGCAGCAGGAGGGGAGTAGGAGGAGGAGGAGAGCAGGAGGAGTAGGAAGAAGGGGTTGGAGGAGGAAGGGGAATAGGGAAGAAGAGGTTGCAGGAGGAGGAAGAGAAGGAGTAGGAGAGCAGCAGGAGAGAATGAGGAGGAGAAATTGGAGAGGAAGATGAGGAGGAAGCGGTAGTGAAACAGGAAGATGGCCAAGAGGATGTAGGACGGTTAGGTGGGGTGGATGGGTGTGGGTAGCAAGGTGGATGGGGTGGGTGTGGATCGTAGGTTGGGTGGGGTGGTGTCGCAGGTTGGGTGGGTGTGTGCAGGTTGGGGGTGTGGGTCGCAGGTTGGGTGGGTGTGGGTCGCAGGTTGGGGGTAGGTGTGGCTAGCAAGGTGGATGGCGGTGGGTGTGGACTGGGTGGGTGTGGTTGGTGGGTGGGTGGGTGTGTGGGTTGCAGGATGTGGTCAGTTTCCGCTCAGGTGGCTTCCTCGTGCTGTGATACGGTTTGATTAAGGCAGAGGAGGAGGAGGAACAGGAAGATAATGAGGAGGAGGAGGGGGAGAGGCACGTGGATAATGTTAGGGTTTAGTGTGGAGGAAGAAGAGGAAGGAGGAGGAGGAGGAAGAAGGGAGGAGGAGAGGAAGAGGAAGAAGGGAGGAGGAGGAAGAGAAGATAAAGGAGATGACTAACAAATAACAGCAACAACAGTAACGGCAACAACAGTACAGCAGCTATAGGGAGCGTGGGTCCTTAACAGCGTGTTTATACAATGTCTTTGTCGTCGCAAGAAGAGAGAGAATTGGCTGTGTGTGTGTGTGTGTGTGTGTGTGTGTGTGTGTGTGTGTGTGTGTGTGTGTGTGTGTGTGTGTGTGTGTGTTGCGTTTATTACATAGACCAATTGCCGCCTTTAAACCCCCGCTGTATAAGATCAAGGCACATCCTCTTTTTTTCTGTTATATTGTTCTGGTTCTAGCCTATTGTATTATCTTGTTCCTCTTTTCTACTGTATTGTCCTGGTTCCTCTACCCTACTGTATTGTCCTGGTTCCCCTACCCTACTGTATTGTCCTGGTCTCTCTCCCCTCACCATGTTGTTATTGTCGTACCACCTCTACTCCTTCCCTGCGGTGTTGTCAAGATTTACAGCTCCTCTCCTCCCCTTCCAACGCCATATTGCCTTGCCATTCTTGCTGCCGTAACTACCTTGGTCGACAACGTGGGGGTAACAACGGTAGCGGTCGTGGTCGTGTGTGTGTGTTTAGGTCGTTCCTGTCTGTGTACTGGTCGTTTCTGTCTGTCTGTGTAGTGGTCGTCCCTGTCTGTAGGAGGTCTGTCTGTGTAGTGGTCGTCTCTGTCTGTAGGTCTGTCTGTGTAGGTCGTCCCTGTCTGTTGGGGTCTGTCTGTGTAGTGGTCGTCCCTGTCTGTAGGGGGTGCGTGGTGGTGGGTCTTGGCTGGGGTCGTTTCTGGTGAAGGGGTGACCTCCACGATAGTGTAATGCTGCAGGCTGCTGCTACTGCTGTACATGATTACTTTTCTGCGTTAGAGTGAGGTTGCACTATAGAAGTCCTTGTATACAGTGATTGTCTGCTGCTACTGTGCACATCACTCTGCTGCGGTAGTCTGTTGTTTCAGAGCAGAAAACCTACATTGCTGCGGTGGTCTGCTTGTGGTGGTGGTGGTGGTGTAGAGACCACACATCCTGTGTTTCGGAAGGTGTGTGTGTGTGTGTGTGTGGCCGGCCGTGTCTGTGTGGCCGTCAGTGTCTGTGTGGCCGTGTCTGTGGCCGTCAGTGTCTGTGTGGCCGGCCGTGTCTGTGTGGCCGGCCGTGTCTGTGTGGCCGTCAGTGTCTGTGTGGCCGTCCGTGTCTGTGTGGCCGTGCGGTTTACCTGGTCTAGGGGAGCACATTTCTGTTTACGACCCGACCAGATCACTTTGTCCATTCAATCGTACACGCTTCCATTCACCTGTATCCGCTGTCGACCTCACCCACCGCGTTTACGGCCTGGTCACTCCGTTCCGCCTCGATTTCCAACCTGGGAACAGAGAAATACAGGGCGCGATGCTGTTTTGTTTACACGTTCCCTCCCTGTGATCTGTTGACGATGTGGGACGCAGGACTAACATTAATCCACCTGAGAGCCTCGCCGTCTGTTTATTACTGTCAACACGACTATCTGGATTCTTAGGTTGTATGTGTTGTGCTATTATTTCTGACTCGTAACTCAATAGTAGGTCGTAGATATAGATGTTTTGTGTGTGTGTGTGTGTGTGTGTGTGTGTGTGTGTGTGTGTGTGTGTGTGTGTGTGTGTGTGTGTGTGTGTGTGTGTGTGTGTGTGTGTGTGTGTGTGTGTGTGTGTGTCCATAAGTTAAAGTTTGAAGTATCTACCTATAGTTGTTGTCATGACTGTTGACTGTAGTGGTGTGGGGAGAAGGCACAGGTAACCAGGTAGTGTGAGAAGGCACAGGTAACCAGGTAGTGGGGAAGACAGAAACCAGGTTGTGTGGGGAAGACACAGGAAACGCAGTGTGGAGAACAGGGTAACCAGGTGTCTTACTAGTGACCTGGCAGGGAGTGAAGGAAGGGGGAGAGGGACGGGAGGAGAGTTAAGCATTACGGTAGATATAAGAAGTTGTCAAGGTTCTTCCTCAGTAACTCAGGACAGGACCCGAGCGGGAGGGGTGGGGAGGGAGGTGATGGCGGGGGAGAGGTGAGAGAGACAGAAAGTAGTCGGCAGGTTTTTTTCTTTCTTTTTTTTTTAATGAATTTCGACTTTTTATTTTCCTTCTTGAGTTGGTAGCGTTTGTTGTATCGTCACTGTATTGTTGTATCGTCATCACCTCCCTCCTCCCTCAATGACTAAACGTATCTGCAGGTAAACTAATGACGGTGCAGGAGGGAGATTAAGAACACCTTCAGGTACTCGAGAGAAGGAAATGTTTACTTTTATCTTCGTTGCTTGTGTTAATTATTTACCGACAGCTACATACGATACCTGAACGTGGACAGGTGTGCTAATGGGAAGGAGGGAAGACAGGTAGACGAGCATTGTGTGTGTGTGCGTGTGTGTGCGTGCGGGTAGTGTTTAGGGGTCTTGTTGTTGTGGTCCCGTGTGAATCAACTGGTAGATGATGTTGTTCAGGTCACACACACACACACACACACACGTGGTATAACCCGCTTGGTACGTCAGCTTTACCACCAAGGTTCCGGTCTCTCGTGGCTCGTGTTTCAGTAGAGGATTAATTCTAACTTGTTTTGTTTCCCAGTCTTGACAATCGATATGAGACCATCACTCATACACAACAACAAAAAATGACGACGTGGTTAGTTAGTGTGAGTGAACTTGAATCACCTGAAGATTAGACAACCCCACCTTATTTCACCTGTTGATTAACCACCGTGACATTAACTTAACCAAACTTAACTAACCTAACCTAACACCCCAGGTAGCAATAGGGTGTTTGATCATCAGGTGACTCGAGGCGCCTACAAACTTGAAATGATCCGTGAAATGTTTATCATTCCAAACCAAACGACCCAATTCAACCTTAATTTTTTCCAAACAATTTATAAAATAATTCTTCTTTAATAGTTTATGATCAGGTATAACACTCTAACATTATCATCACCTGTACGAGTAATTACGAAGATAAGATATACAGATGAATGAAGATAAATTTGTGCTCGTTGGTGTAAAGATCAAACGAAGGAGTAATTAAAAGAATACAATAATAAAGAAGAGAATTACAGTCAAGAGGAGAACTGTGGGACGTCTCCTCTGGCCCAGACATCTTACAGGACACCACACTCGAGGTCGCCCTCCCTCACGTCCCACCACCGCAGGACTTTATGACATAACACCAGGAGACGAAGGGACTTTGGGGACCTTCTGTCTGTCTCTTGGCCTGGAATTTCTGTACTCTCTGGCTGACGGGTCTTGACGTTTCTGTCCATGTTGTAGCTGACGCCTCTTGAAGCTGACACTGGAAGTTTTTCTCCACGGTAAGCTCATGACGTCCTCTCAAGCTTTCAGCCTCTCTGACGGTCACTGAACCTTAGTCAGAGCTCTATTGCTGACGCCCACTACATCTATAGTACCTGCTACTGACGCCCACTACATCTATAGTACCTGCTACTGACGCCCACTACATCTATAGTACCTGCTACTGACGCCCACTACATCTATAGTACCTGCTACTGACGCCCATCATCTACCTGTTATTGACGCCCACTGCATCTACAGTACCTGTTACTGACGCCCACTGCATTTACAGTACCTGCTACTGACGCCCACAAATATCTACAGTACCTGTTATTGACGCCCACAACATCTACAGTACCTGTTATTGACGCCCACTGCATCTGTGAGCGCCTCCTACTAACACCCACTACAGTACATCTACAAACCTACTTTTAACTGCTGGGTGTACTTCCTAGTGAAGATTTATCGCCAGCTCCAGGCGCCACTAAAGTTGATCTGGTAGCGGCCACGTGAGGACGACCCCCAACACAGGTGAGCCACCCACGCCCCCTCCGCTGACTCAGTTCCTTCTCAGGTGACGTGTCTACTGCTCGCTCGCGCGCGCTTGTGTGTGTGTGTGTGTGTGTGTGTGTGTGTGTGTGTGTGTGTGTGTACACAACATATGTGAGGAGTATAATACCTTAATCCTTAGTAGTGTTTATTTCCTGTTTTTATTCTTAAATCTCTGTACCTGTATTGATGCCTGTACTGTACCTGTATCTCAGAGTAGTTTCACTCACTAAGTCTTAGTCAGCTCCTCCGTTCACGACCCCGAGATTCAGACTTGTGAAGCCGAAGCATTTATGGACAGAATAATGTCTACTGCTTCGGGTTCACGAGTCTGAATCTTGGGGATCGTGGTTCAGGAGGAGAAGGAAGGACCTTAGTTGATGCCTGTACTGTACCTGTATTGATGCCTGTACTGTACCTGTATTGATAATGTCTATATTGTACCTGTACCTGCATTGATGCCTATACTGTATCTGTATTGATGCCTATACTGTACCTGTACCTTTGCATTCTGTGTGCATAAGACCATGTGATAGTACTGTAGTCCATTTCATTGATCCCTCGTTATATTTGTCTACTGTAATCCTTTTGTTAACCTTCACCCGCGTCTGTATTTTGGCGTTTCTATTCTAATTATTGATGCGAAATTAAAAAGATCTCCAGCCTGGGTAGAAGGCGAGCAAACGTTCCTCTGACGAAGCTTCACTATCCATGATGGGGAGGAGAGAACGCCAGACGCTGTTGTTTGGTGTGTTGGCGCTGTGTCTCTGCCATCTCACGAGAACGCACCAAGCTGGCCCACCTAATCTATACGTCACGAGGATGGCGGGTAAAATGTCGCCAAAAGTATACAGAGACTCTACCATATACCGTCCTCCTGACCCTGGTGTGTGACGCGTAAACATACAGGGTGACCCAAAAGTTTGTGTTTGTAAATATAGACGAGGAGTGAAACCTGAAACCACGTTCCGTACGCCAGTGTGGGAGGTGTGGGAGGTGAGGTAATTTGGAACGTTTGTTGAAATAAAAGTAAATATTGAATAGTTTCCTCTTAAGTGGTCTAAGTCCCTCAACTCGATGCCATAAGAGGCACTTGGGTGTCCTTATTGAGGGCCACAGTTGTGGGGATCAGTGACTCAGCTGTTGTGTTTGGTTGTTGGTTATTGTGGTTGTGTTGGTTAAAGATGATGAAAATAATAACATAAAAATAACAACAACTACTGCCACCATTACTATTACAACCACTCCTATAAATACTACAACTGAAGATTTATTGGTAATAGTAGTGACAGTAGTAGTAGTGGTAGTAATAATAATATTGGTATTAATAATATAAAGAGTAGCAGTAGTAGTTAGTGGTGGTGGTGGTTGTTGTTTTTATTGTTGTTGTTGACGCCACAAGATTGAATTAATAGCAAATGATCATAAGAACCTTTCAGAAGACCCGCACTTTTCCTGTCTACTACCCACACACACACACACACACACACACACACACACACACACACCACACCACACACACACACACACACACACACACACACACTCACTCACACACACACACACACACACACACACACACACCACTCAACACACACACACACACACACACACACACACACACACACACACACACACACACAAGAGAAGGAGGGTGCGTGTCGAGGAATAGAAAATTGTTGAAGGCAAATGACTGCTGGTTCCTGGGGGTGGGTGAGGAGGTCCAGCCTGGTGTGTGGTGGGTGAGGAGGGTCTAGCCTGGTGTGTGGTGGGGAGGGAGGCCCAGTCTGGTGTGTGTGGTGGGGGGAGGGAGGTCTAGCCTGGTGTGTGTGGTGGGGTGAGGAGGGTCTAGTCTGGTGTGGTGGGGGAGGGAGGGTCTAGTCTGGTGTGGTGGGGTGAGGGAGGTCTAGCCTGGTGTGTGGTAGGAGGGTCTAGCCTGGTGTGTGGTGGGGAGGGAGGGTCTAGTCTGGTGTGTGTGGTGGGGGAGGGAGGGTCTAGCCTGGTGTGTGGTGGGGGAGGGAGGGTCTAGTCTGGTGTGTGGTGGGGAGGGAGGGTCTAGCCTGGTGTGTGGTGGGGGGTGAGGGAGGGTCTAGCCTGGTGTGTGGTGGTGAGGGAGAGGTCTGGTCTGGTGTGTGGTGGGGGAGGGAGGGTCTAGTCTGGTGTGTGGTAGGGGTGAGGGAGAGTCTAGTCTGGTGTGGTAGGGGAGTGAGGTCTAGCCTGGGTGTGGTGGGGTGAGGGAGAGTCTAGTCTGGTGTGTGGTGGTGAGGGAGGGTCTAGTCTGGTGTGTGGTAGGGGTGAGGGAGAGTCTAGTCTGGTGTGTGGGTGGGGTGAGGGAGGGTCTAGTCTGGTGTGTGGTGGGGGAGGGAGGGTCTAGCCTGGTGTGTGGTGGGGAGGGAGGGTCTAGCCTGGTGTGTGGTGGGGTGAGGGAGGGTCTAGCCTGGTGTGTGGTGGGGTGAGGGAGGGTCTAGCCTGGTGTGTGGTGGGGAGGGAGGGTCTAGCCTGGGTGTGGTGGGGGTGAGGGAGGGTCTAGCCTGGTGTGTGGTGGGGTGAGGGAGGGTCTAGCCTGTGTGTGTAGGGGTGAGGAGAGTCTAGTCTGTGTGGTGGGGAGGGAGGGTCTAGTCTGGTGTGTGGTGGGGTGAGGGAGGTCTAGTCTGGTGTGTGTGGTAGGGGTGAGGGAGGGTCTAGTCTGGTGTGTGTGGTGGGGTGAGGAGGGTCTAGCCTGGTGTGTGTGGTAGGTGAGGAGGGCTCCAGCCTGGTGTGTGGTGGGGGTGAGGGAGGGTCTAGCCTGGTGTGTGTGGTGGGTGAGGGAGGGTCTAGTCTGGTGTGTGTGGTGGGGGGTGAGGAGGGTCCAGCCTGGTGTGGTGGGGGTGGAGGAGGGTCTAGTCTGGTGTGTGTGGTGGGGGAGGGAGGGTCTAGTCTGGTGTGTGGTGGGGTGAGGGAGGTCTAGTCTGGTGTGTGGTGGGGTGAGGAGGGTCTAGTCTGGTGTGTGTGGTGGGGTGAGGGAGGGTCTAGCCTGGTGTGTGGGGGTGAGGGAGGGTCTAGCCTGGTGTGTGGGTGGGGGGAGGAGGTCTAGCCTGGTGTGTGGTGGGGGGAGGGAGGGTCGCCTGTGTGTGGTGGGGGAGGAGGGTTCAGCCTGGTGTGTGTGTGGGGAGGAGGGGTCTAGCTGGTGTGTGTGGTGGGGGGGAGGAGGGTCTAGCCGTGTGTGGTGGGGGTGAGGGAGGGTCTAGCCTGGTGTGTGTGGTGGGGGTGAGGGAGGGCTCTGGTGTGGTGGGGGGAGGGAGGGTCTAGGTCTGGTGTGTGGGTGGGGAGGAGGGTCTAGCCTGGTGTGTGGTGGGGAGGGAGGTCTAGCCTGGTGTGTGGTGGGGTGAGGAGGGTCCAGCTCTGGTGTGTGGTGGTGGTGGGAGGGTCTAGCCTGGTGTGGTGGTGGGGAGGGAGGGTCTAGCCTGGTGTGGTGGGGGAGGGAGGGTCTAGCCTGTGTGTGGTGGGGGGAGGGAGGGTCTAGCCTGTGTGTGGTGGGGGAGGGAGGGTCTAGGCTGGTGTGTGGTGGGGAGTGGCCTAGTCTGTGTGTGGTGGGGAGGGAGGGCCCAGCCTGGTGTGTGGTGGGGGTGAGGGAGGGTCTAGTCTGGTGGTGGGGTGAGGGAGGGTCTGTCTGGTGTGTGGTGGGTGAGGAGGGTCTAGTCTGGTGTGTGGGGGTGAGGGAGGGTCTAGCTGGTGTGTGTGTGGTGGGGTGAGGGAGGGTCTAGTCTGGTGTGTGTGGTGGGGGAGGGAGGGTCTAGCCTGGTGTGTGTGGTAGGGGTGAGGGGAGGGTCTAGTCTGGTGTGGGGGGGGGAGGGAGGGCCTAGCCTGGTGTGTGGTGGGGTGAGGGAGGGTCCAGCCTGGTGTGTGGTGGGGTGAGGGAGGGTCTAGTCTGGTGTGTGGGGGTGAGGAGGTCTAGTCTGGTGTGTGTGGTGGGGGGTGAGGGAGGTCTAGCCTGGTGTGTGGTAGGGGTGAGGGAGGGTCTAGCCTGTGTGTGGTGGGGGTGAGGGAGGTCAGTCTGGTGTGTGGTGGAGGGAGGGTCTAGCCTGTGTGTGGTGGAGGGAGGTCAGCCTGGTGTGTGGTGGGGGAGGAGGGTCTAGCCTGGTGTGTGGTGGGGGAGGAGGGTCTAGCCTGGTGTGTGGTGGGAGGAGGGTCTAGCCTGGTGTGGTGGTGAGGGGGTCTAGTCTGGTGTGTGGTGGGGTGAGGGAGGGTCTAGTCTGGTGTGTGGTGGGGTGAGGAGGGTCTAGTCTGGGTGTGGTGGGGTGAGGGAGTGGCTCCCTTGGTGTGTGGTGGGGGAGGAGGGTCTAGTCTGTGTGTGGTGGGGAGGGAGGGTCTAGGTCTGGTGTGGTGGGGAGGGAGGGTCTAGCCTGGTGTGTGGTGGGTGAGGGAGGGTCTAGTCTGGTGTGTGGTGGGGGGAGGGAGGGTCTAGCCTGGTGTGTGGTAGGGGTGAGGGGAGGCCTAGTCTGGTGTGGGGGGGGGGGGTGGTGGGTGAGGGAGGGTCTAGTCTGGTGTGTGGTGGGGAGGGGAGGGTCTAGCCTGGTGTGTGGTGTGAGGGAGGTCTAGTCTGTGTGTAGGGGTGAGGGAGGGTCTAGCCTGGTGTGTGTGGTGGGGTGAGGGAGGTCTGTCTGGTGTGTGGTGGGGGGGAGGGTCTAGCCTGGTGTGTGTGGGGGTGAGGGGAGGGTCTAGCCTGTGTGTGGTGGGGTGAGGGTCTAGTCTGTGTGTGTGGTGGTGAGGGAGGGTCTAGCCTGGTGTGTGGTGGGGGTGAGGGGGAGGGTCTAGTCTGGTGTGTGGTGGGGTGAGGGAGTGCCCACCTGTGTGTGTGGTGGGGGTGAGGGAGGTCAGCCTGGTGTGTGGTAGGGGTGAGGGAGGGTCTAGCCTGGTGTGTGGTGGGTGGGGGGTGAGGAGTGGCTAGCCTGGTGTGTGGGTAGGGGTGAGGAGGTCTGAGCCTGGTGTGTGGTGGGTGAGGG